GGCTGTTTTGAATCCAAAACCATTTGAATCCAAAACCCTGGTTCCTGTCAGCCCAAACACGAAAAAAATCCAGACATTTTTTTTCTTAAGCTTTTACTGCTTTTGTAAGCAAACCAGTTTGACATGAAATTTAAAAAAAACAATTGAAAAAGGAAGATATAAAATTTCTTGCTTCACCAAATGGATATTAACGTATAAAACGAATAACCTACAAAACTCAACTGTAAAGATTGGCTATTATACAGATGAACAAAAACATTTTAAGAGCTAAATTATGTGGAAAAATATAGAACAAGTCAGTTTTAATTGAACGAGCTGCTCGCTTCAGCGTTTGTAGATGCTGCTACTTCCTTCACTGCAGATGACAGCAGGTGCGGAGATGCGCGCGGCCGGTGATCCATCTGACTTTAACTGGACATGTTTTTACCTCTTTCAGCTGGCCGGTCGGACCTGCCTCCTCCTCTACAAGTAGATTAACTCATTTTTACAAAGTATATTGTGCATTCTTATTGAGTTAAGCTGTTAAGTCTGGTGGCCCACCAACTTTCAGCCACTGGTTCCTGGCTGCACCACTGGCTTGAACAGACAAACATGTTTTGAGTTTGAGTTCATTTTATTGCTGTGAATATTCTCTTGAATGAGCCCTGCTAGGCTTTCAGTTTATTATCAATCTTATTTCTCCTTATGCTAATATTACATTTTTAATTTATAAAGTGCTCTGGTCTTTTTTTTTTTTTTAACCTAACTCACAAAAATCTCATGACTTCTGCTGAAATTTGAGATCTGACCGTTTCCTTCATGTTTTAAATCAGATTTCAAAGACTTCTGCTCAAACATCAGTGTTCAAACAGCTGGAAGTAAAGTGTGTCTGCATGTCCTGCCAGGTGTTTTCTTTACTCACCAACCAGGAGCTCAACAAAATGTCCTTCTACTTCCTTCGGGATGTAGCATCTGTATCGTCCGTTGTCGGAGTGTCTCGCATCATAGAGCTTCAGAGAGACGTCTCCGTCCTTCAGTTTGTCTTCTGACAGAGAAGTTCTTCCCTTGTAGGCTCGGTTTTGGTCGGCCAGATGTTCCTTCCCAGCATGCCTCACAAACACAAACCTGGGTTCCAGGTCCAGTTTCCCCCACTCCACGGTCATCTGAGCAGCATCTCTGGGAGGTTTCAGGAGGCACGGCAAAACAACGTCATCACCAACTAATGCTGTGACCATCTGAGGTGGAGCTGTTTCCTGTGAGGAACCTGCAAAATAAAAGTCAGCTGGATTATATTCTGTGGTGCGTCGTCTGCTTTGACCATCTTGGATTTACAGCGGCATGTTCTCAGGAGCTAAACTTTTTTATTTTCCCTTTGATCTGTGAAGCTTTACACCTTTATGAAAACTTTTTTAGTTTCTCTAAACAGAGATCGCTCCGACTGCATTCTACTGCAGGTAAGATATTGACAGCTCACACATACTTCACATAATCCCACCTTAAAACCCATTTTAATCTTGTCTCTATATTATTATAGAAACACCTGGTGGATTAATCCCCATTCACTCAGTTTAAAATTATTTAACAAGAACAAAGATATATTTTTTAATTATTTCTGTTTTGATCTGTTTGGCTTTTAATTAAGTGCATTTTTTATTTAATGAATTTTAGTTAATCTTGTATCTTGGACAGGTCTCATTAAAATAAAAAAATAACTTTCAACCCCAGAGCAGGATCAGCTGGTTGGATTTGCAACATTTTACATTCACATCTATTGCTGGACCTATAAATAAATTAACAGTGACTGATTATTGTTTTCAGTCACAGTCCTTAAAGACCTCCCAAACTGATCCCTCTCTGTTGGAGCAGCACAAGTTACCTGTGCAGGAGAACGTGAGAAGCAGGAAGACGACAAGAAGGTCAGACATGGCAGCAGGTGGGTTTTAAAGATGATCTCACTGGAACAGAAATGATCCTGGAAACTAAAAGATCACACAGATACAAAGTCTTCAAATGTGTAAAAGAAAGAACGAAAGTCACAAGTGTAACAACAAGACACCAAATAAAATGAAAACTGTTCATTGAATGTGAAATAAGACACTTCGTAACTACAACCTGAGTTCTGACCATGTTAAATATTGTTCATAAAGAAAATAAAGGATGCAAAGATTTGTAAACCCACATTTTATTAACAATGGATAGTAAATGTATCACATGTGGAAACTAAGAAAATGTTCATTTTTGTGTGAAAATA